GCACCACAGAAAAGGGAGGTGGAAACGGGAAAGGCGAACAGAGGCGGGAGCCATTCAGAACGTGAAGACCTTCGCGGGCGTGCCGAAGGAGTGACTCGGGGGGGGGGGGGCGATACATGGGACGGCGAAGAAAGGTATATCTCTTGTGCACCTACGTGCACCTAGCAAGGCCCTGTGGAGGCCCCCTGGGGCCCCGAAGGGGCACGAGAAAGCAGCGCCCAAGTGACAGGGCCCCGAAGCCCCAAATAATAGCCAGAGTCACCCAATAAGGTCCACCCGTCAGCACACGCGCCAGGGCGTTCGAACGATTCTGACATGCGTGGGCAAGAGGCCCGCTTGGTAGCATGTTATGAAAAGGTTGAACAGCGCATGGTTTTCTCAGGAATTCGCAAGGGCCCACGCGCAAGCTCTTTTTGAACATCCCGGTTGCGAAACCTTGTTTTTCCAAACCATCCTGTGGTGTTGGGTCCTCGTTTTGAAGAGACAGCGCCCCGCGTCCTTCCTCCTTCCTCCTCCTCCCCCTCCTCCTCCCTCCTCCCACCATCATCATCGTCATCATCATCATCGTCGTCATCACACATTTCGGCACACCCCTCACATGTTTCGTGGCCCCATAGGGAGCTCCACCGAAGGTCCCAGTGGGTGTGCCCGCATGCGTCCCGCACGCCCATTTCGGCACACCCCTCACACGTTTCGTGGCCCCATAGGGAGCTCCACCGAAGGTCCCAGTGGGTGTGCCCGCATGCGTCCCGCACACCCATTTCGGCACACCCCTCACACGCTTCGTGGTGGCCCCAAGCTGTCCCAGTGGATGTGCCCGCATGCGTCCCGCACACCCATTTCGGCACACCCCTCACACGTTTCGTGGCCCCATAGGGAGCTCCACCGAAGGTCCCAGTGGGTGTGCCCGCTTGCGTCCCGCACACCCATGTCGGCACACCCTTCACACGTTTCGTGGCCCCATAGGGAGCTCCACCGAAGGTCCCAGTGGGTGTGCCCGCTTGCGTCCCGCACACCCATGTCGGCACACCCTTCACACGTTTCGTGGCCCCATAGGGAGCTCCACCGAAGGTCCCAGTGGGTGTGCCCGCATGCGTCCCGCACACCCATTTCGGCACATCCCTCACACGTTTCGTGGCCCCGAGTGTATCCGCGAGGCCTGACCTGAGGAACGGCCCGCCACAGCCGCGCCTTCTCTCGGCTGTCCAACTGTTTGGCCTTGCGCCGCGGACGCCCTGCGCGCGTCGTTGGGACCTTCTCGGGGCGATCAGCGCGCGTCGCGCGAACTCCGCGCTGCGCTCTGTCCAGCGCCTCGCTCGCCCGTCGTCGTTCCGGCGGCCAGAGCCATGCGCGCTATCAGTTAACCAGCAAGCAATCTCTGTTCCACACAGCGTACGAACCGTGCGCGTCACTGCGACCCCTTCGGGGCGACCTGCGCGCGTCGCGAGGGCTCCGCCTTGCGTTGCGCCCGCAGCCTTGGACTTTGGAGTGCGCGGGCAAAGGAAAAGGAAAAAGGAGGGGAGGAAACGGGCGCGATCCTCGTGTGGGGCGTGCCGACATGGGCGTCGCGGCGCGCGGGCGTTGCCGTCGGGGTTCCCAGGGAAACCCCCTGCAGAGGCTACGCCACACAATTCGGCACACCTTCATACGGTTCGTGGCCCCATGGGGAGCGCCCCCGAAGAAGATATTCACAATTGCGGTACTCACAACTGCATATGGTTGGGTCCTTCGCCGGGATAAGGTTGATGTGTTCGGGCGCTCGATTTTGAAGTCTTTACGACGTCTGAGGTTCTTTATGTTTTCGGCATGCGCGCGCGGCGACGCGCGCGTGTGCACTTCCTCTTTCTCTCGCAAAGGTTTCTTGCACAAAAAAACAAATATCCTGGCGAAGGACCCAATCATATGCAGTTGTGAATAACGCGTTGTGGGTGCCGCTTTCGGTGGAGCTCCCCACGGGGCCACGAAACGCGTGAGGGACGTGCCGTAATGGGTGGGAGAGACGCATGCGGGCGGTGCCATTGGGGCCTTCGGAAGGGGCTCCTTCTGTGCCACGAAACGCTGTCCTGGGTGTGGCTGACGCATGTGGCCACCCCCACTGGGGCTTTAGGTGGATCTCCCTACTGGGCCACGAAGCGCTGTATTGGGTGTGGCGGCCGCATGTGGCCACCCCCGCTGGGGCCTTAGGTGGAGTTCCGTATGGACAACGACACGCTGTACTGGGTGTGGCAATCGCATGTGGCCACCCCCACTGGGGCCTTAGGTGGAGTTCCCCATGGTATGGGACCACGAAGCGCTGTATTGGGTGTGGCTGGCGCATGTGGCCACCCCCATTGGGGCGTTCGGTGGAGCTCCCTTTGGGGCCACGAAGCGCTGTACTGGGTGTGACGGACGCACGTGGCCACCCCAGTGGGGCTTTCGGTGGAACTCCCCATGGGGCCACGAAGCGCTGTACTGGGTGTGGCGGACGCATGTGGCCACCCTCACTGGGGCCACATCTGGAGTTTTCTATGTGGCCACGAAGCGTTGTACTGGGTGTGGCGGACGCATGTGGCTACCCCCACTGGGGCCGCATATGGAGCTCCCTACGGGGCCACGAAGCGTTGCAGTCGGTGTGGCGGTCGCACGTGGTCACCCCACTTGGGCCCTTAGGTGGAGCTATGTATGGGGCCACGAACCGCTGTATTGTGTGTGTGTGTGTGTGGCGGGCGCATGTGGCCACCCCCAGTGGGGCCGCAGATGGAGTTCCCTATGGGGCCACGGAGCGCTGTACTGGGTGTGGCGGACGCATGTGGCCACCCCCAGTGGGGCCTTCGGTGGGGTTCCCTACTGGGCCACGAAGCGCTGTACTGGGTGTGGCGGACGCGTGTGGCCACCTCAACTGGGGCCACACATGGAGTTCCGTATGTGGCCACGAACCGCTGTACCGTGTGTGGCGGACGCATATGGCTACCCCCAGTGGGGCCTTAAGTGGAGTTCCCTATGGGGCCACGAGGCGCTGCACTGGGTGTGGCGGACGCATGTGGCCACCCCCAATGGGGCATTTGGTGGAGATCCCTATGGGGCCACGAAGCGCTGTATTGGACGCATGCGGCCACCCCCAGTGGGGCCTTCGGTGGAGCCCCCTATGGGGCCACGAAACGCTGTATTGGGTGGGTGAAACGCAAGGAAAGGAGGAGGGGGGAAGGAGAGGAGGGAGGAGGGGGAGGAGAGGAGAGGAGAGGAGGGACGCGGGGACCGTATGCTTTCAACGAGGACCCAACACCACAGGATGGTTGGTAATAAACATTATCTTAGCGAAGGACCCAACCAAATGCAGTTGTGGGCACTGCAATTGAGAATGTTTTCTTCGGTGAAGCTCTGTATGGGGGCGCGAGGCGCTGCATTGGGTGGGGGCGAACGCATGCGGGCGGTATCACTGGGGCCGTCGGTGGAGCTCCCTATCTGGCCACGAAGCGCTGTATTGGGTGGGCGAAAACTGTGTGAGACGCATGCGGACGGTCCCACTTTGGGCTTCGGTGGGGTTCCCTATGGGGCCACGGCACGTTGTACTGGGTGGGTGAACATGCCAAATTGGGCTTTGGGGCGCATGCGGACAGTCCCACGGGGGGGGGGGGTGCGGTGGAGCTCCCTATGGGGCCACGAGGCGCTGTACAGGGTGAGTGAAATTGCCAAATAGGATGTGTGGGACGCATGCGGGCGGTCCCACCGGGGCCTGCGGTGGAGCTACCCTTTTGAGGCCACGAAACGTTGTGTTGAGTGTGGCAGACGCACGTGGTACCCCCCCCATGGGGCCTTACGTGGAGCTCCCTATGGGACCACGAAGCGCTGTATTGGGTGTGGCAGGCGCATGTGGTACCCCCAATTGGGGTCTTACGTGGAGCTCCCTATGGGGCCACGAAGCGCTGTAGTGGGTGTGGCAGGCGCATGTGGTACCCCCTACTGGGGCCTTTGGTGGAGCTCCCAATGGGGCCACGAAACGTTGTACTGGGTGTGGAAGACACATGTGGTACCCCCCCCCCAGGGGCCTTACGTGGAGCTATGTATGGGGCCACGAAGCGCTGTAGTGGATGTGGCAGACGCATGTGGTACCCCCCCCCAGGGGCCTTCGGTAGAGCTCCCTATGGGGTCACGAAGCGCTGTGCTGGGTGTGGCAGACGCATGTGGTACCCTCCCCCCCTTGGGGCCTTGGGTGGGGCTCCCCATGGGGCCACGAAGCGTTGTACTGGGTGTGGCCGATGCATGTGGTACCCCCCCCCCCCTGGGGCCTTGGGTGGGGCTCCCCATGGGGCCACGAAGTGTTGTAGTGGGTGTGGCAGATGCATGTGGTGCCCCCCCCCCCCGGGGCTTGGGTGGGATTCCCTATGGGACCACGAAGCGTTGTATTGGTTGGGTGAAGCGCATGGAGGAGGGAGGAGGGGGAGGGGCACGGGAGGAGGAAAAGGAGACGCGGGGGCCGTTTCTTCCAAACGAGGACCCAACACCACAGGATGGTTGGGGAAAGCTACCCAGGCGAAGGACCCAACCATATGCAGTTGTGGGTACCGCGATTCAGAATGTCTTCTTCGGTGACGCTTCCTATGGGGCCACGAGGCGCTGCACTGGGTGGGGGCGAACGCATGCGGGCGGTATCACTGGGGCCGTCGGTGGAGCTCCCTATGGGGCCACGACACGTTGTATTGGGTGGGTGAAAATCCAAAATTGCGTGTGGGACGCATGCGGACGGTCCCACTGGGGGCTTCGGTGGAGCTCCTTATGGGGCCACGGCACGTTGTATTGGGTAGGTGAAAATCCAAATGTGTGTGTGTGTGTGGGACGCATGCGGACGGTCCCACTGGGGGCTTCGGTGGAGCTCTCTATAAGGGGCCACGAAGCGCTGTACTGGATGTGGCGGACGCATGTGGCCACCCCCACTGAGGCTTTGGGTGGGGTTCCCCATGGGGCCACGAAGCGCTGTACTGGGTGTAGCGGACGCACGTGGCCACCCCCACTGGGGCTTTAGG